GAGCAGGGAGCCCGATGCGGGACTCGATCCCGGGACTCCAGGATCATGACCTGAGCCGAAGGCAGTCGCTTAACCGACTGAGCCACCCAGGCGCCCCAGTAGTTGATATTCTTATCCCCATTTTAATGATAAGAAAACTGAGCTACTGAGGTGTTAGTAAATGCCTGATCAATGTCTTCTCTATTTTCTCTCTATCATCTTGACGTTATCCTGAGCCCACAAAAGAAGTTCTGGTTTGGGTGGTATGGCTTCTTTTTCAGTTAGAATGTAGGAATGATTTTATTTAGGAATGGGCAGAAGCCCTGAATAAACACTTTTCCAAAGAAGACATACAGATAGCTGACAGACACATAAAAAGATGCTCAGTATCGCTCATCATCAGGGAAATGTAAATCAAAACCACAATGAGACACCACCTCACACTGTTAGAATGGCTATTATAAAAAAGACAAGAAATAACAAGTGTTGGTGAGGATGTGGGGAAAAGGGAACCCTCGTGCACTGTTGGTGGGAATGCAAACTGGTGCAGCCACTGTGGAAAATGGTATGGAGGTTCCTCAAAAAGGTAAAAATAGAACTACCCTACAATCCAGCAATTCCACTTTGGGTATTTACCCAAAGAAAACAAAAACATGAAATCAAAAAGATATCAGCACCCCTATGTTCATTGCAGCATTATTTACAATAGCTAAGATAGTGGAAGCATCCATCAGTAGATGAATGGATAAAGAAGATGTAGTACATGTATACATACAATGGAATATTATTCATCCATAAAAAAGAATAAAATTTTGCCATTTGTGACAACATGGAGAGACCTAGAGGGTATTATGCTAAGTAAAATAAGTCAGAGAAAGACAAATACCATTTGCTTTCACTTATATATGTTGAATATAAAAAACAAAACAATCGAGCAAACAAAACAAAACAGAAACAGACTCAAAAATACAGAGAACAAATGGGTGGTTGCCAGAGGGGAGGAGGGAGGGAGATGGGTGAAATAAGTGACAAGGATTAAAAGATACAAACCTCCCGTAAAATAAGTCAGTCACAGAGATATGTAGAATAGAGAATATAGTCAATAATAATAACTTTGTATGGTGGCAGGTGATAGATTTATTGGGGTGATAATTTCATAATGTGTATAAATGTCAAGTCACTGTGTTGTATACCTGAAACTGAAACTAATATTATATGTCAACTATACTTTAATAAAAAAAAATTCCAACCCAAAAAAAAGAGAATGTAGGAATGTAGGGAGGAGGACCTGTTCAAAGCAGAACTGTGCAGGCCAACATTCGATCTAGATCAGCCTCCCCAAAATGAAGGCCTGTCCAGAAAACCTGCTGACATGTCTAATTCTGGCTTCCGTGAAGAAGTGCTGTTGTTCTGCATCCAGCTGTGTGCATCTTGGTTCACTGGGGTTTGGATTTATCCAGAATCCCTCTGTTCTCCAAAATTTCATGTGAGGGTGGTTGTAACATCATTTGGAACCAAAATGCGGGGACAAGAAGGTTTATTGGCTGAAGTTACTGGGAACACTAAAGCCTCCTTTTCTTCTCTCAGCTCTGAATTTTCTAGAGTTTGAACTTCTCTGGTAGAGGAACCCCCCAGGAAGACTGATCGGTTCTTACATTTCTAAAAGCATGGCCCATGTAAGTTGCTTCTCTGAAATATTGGGATTTTTAGACTACATAGATATTTTCATTAAGCACCATCTCATTACCTGCTTGATTCCTGCTGTTTGAAACAGTGCCAAACAATTGCTTCTTCCTTATGAGGTCCCCTTTTCTAATTGGTGTTCATTAATTCATTGAGCAAATTACGGAAAAGATCACATGTGATAAATCTTTGTTGAAGGACTGTGATGGAACAGTGAAGGTGTGAAGTCTCATGAATTATTTGAGCTCCCTGTGTCAGTCAGTGGTTTGGTGAGTTTGAGATATTGACCTCATTTGACCGTACATCAGAAGATTTAACATTTTCCACAGACCTACTAAGATGGGATTTTGTACTGATTGGTCTCAGTCTTAATATGATGAGATCACATGCTCTGTGAGGCTTTTAGGAACACATTAGGGCCATGACTGTGACATGGAAACATTGATACCATCATTCTTGCCAGGTGATGCCTGAGAGTGACAGTAGGTCAATTTTGTGGTGGAACGGGACCTGCCAGACTTGGGTGACATTCGTTTGATTCTGAATCATAATCCGCTAACTGAAAAACAGCAAAAGTGTTGAGTGAGGAATGCTGCATGGCAATATGAGCTTATTATCGTAAGTCGCAGATTAACGTAGATTACCTGAATTGGGGAAATCAGAGACATTTGGTCAAATCTCATATAAATCTAAAATAATGACTAATTCTGATACATATTCACGAGAGGTACTTTTATGCCATCATGAAAATTTTTTTATTAATATAAGGAAAAATGTTTACGATATGATCTGACATAATAATCTTGAAGCTTGAGAAATTAACAAATTTGTGTAATATCTATTTTCTTTTTTTTTTAAGATTTTATTTATTTATTTGAGAGAGAGAGAATGAGAGA